GTTCTTACCGAGAATCCATTCCCAATTTGGAGTGAAGTCAATAGATTGTTCGTGTCAGGATTTTCTCTTGGCTAAGAGGACATGACTGTTCTTCCCCTGTTCCATAGCTGCAAAGAACAGTATGGGGAACTTTGCTGCTGTACAACCTGCTGTGATTTATAAGCAGGGGCATTGCTGTGTTCTTACTCTCATTTTGTATTTTTCATTTGGTTTGTGTCAATACAGCCCATGTTCTTTTTTTTCCTGATACTTAGTTTTATAAGCATATACATTATATAAATATACATTATATAGTACATATTTTTCTATATTTATGTCTTTTACTATGCTGGGAGTGGTGTGATTATGTAATCGGTCTTTGAAGTCTAATTATATGGATGCTGAACTTTTCTCTCAAAAAGAAAAAAAAAAAAAAGGAAAAAAATAGTATTCAAATTTACAACGGGAGAACTATTTTCGTAACTTAAGACTTGTGAGTATTTATGGCCCAAGAATAGTTCTTCTCAGCACATTCACAATGTATCTAATGCACGACTTGGACAGTAACTAGGGTTACATGCAGGCTGCAGATGACCTTCTGTAGAAGCTATCATATTTTGTCATGTCAAATTTGATCGTTTCGAGTGTAACACGAAACGATCATATTTTGTCATGTCAAATTTGATCGTTTCGAGTGTAACACGAAACACTGCCTAATATCAAAAGTGCCTAATTTCAACCAAGTGTTCAGTTTGCAAAATGGGCTTTTGGGCAGCGTTAACTGAGGAATTATTAAGAATATTGCAAATAGAATATGAGGAAAATTTGCTCTTAAAACAGATCAACCTGCATGCAAACCTAGTCCGCCCCTGCAGCCACTAAACCTGGTATACTTTTCTAAATATGTCAAGTCAGAAATTTCAGTGACTGCAATGCTTTTGTAACTGCTTAACAAAAAAAGAACCCCAAAGCTCTTTTAGGACTGTTCACCCAGGCCTCTTACAGATAAGGAATATGTCAAGCCTTGGACAAATGAATACATATTACCTGTTTACATAACTTATTTCTTGAGCACATTCACCTAAAAGGCTTTGTGTGCATAGCATTACAGTGACCTCTTGTGGTTTAGTTTCCAAGCAAAACTAAGCTACATCAGGGCTTCTTTAATTTTAGCACTTATTACTGTATTTGAGTCTGAGGTGAATACTTTTTTTTTAATGATCACACCTAAATAATAATTACCTGAAAAAAAAAACAGTTTCAAATTTTAAAGTATATATTTATGTACAGTGCCTAAATAAGGACAAACCTTCCTCTGGGTGAATTAAGTTCTACATTTCAGTATGACCTAGCAGAGAGTTTATTCATGCTCTTTTCTTGAGCTATCCAAAAAAGTCTAGCAGACACACAAGTTTGAAGAAGGTTAAAGATGTAGATACATTAATGTAGACATGTTTATGGGTGAAAAAACAAAACAAAAAAAAAAAACCTTCCTGCCATGGGTGAATACAAACCTTGGTTTGATCAGCTTTCTTTCTACATTGAAGTGAACCACAGTTAATACCAAGGAGCAGTAATAGAACAGATCGTTTTTTAAATCTTTCATACAATAATTATAGCAAATGCATGTACAGAAATGTGCATGCTTGTTTAACTTGAGTAAGCATTCGAGGTGATCAGCTGTCTTTGATTAAATAAGCTTCGACACACACAAGCTTTGCCAGTCCTACAAGCTATAGTATTTAACTTTAGCCATGTAGAAAGTCAGTTTTAATATTGTAAGAGTGGAGCATATGTACAGATTAGGTGTGGCTAAAATTATGGATGAAATACATTGAATGTTAGTTTAACAGCAGCAACTTCTGCGTTTGTGAGTTTGAGATAAATGTCTCGAGGCTTAGAGTGACTGTCAAATAGCAGTAAAAAGGCAGCATAAATTGAGTATGTACCATTCATGACTTGTCATTACTCTGCTCATATATTTTATATTTATTTCAATGATTTGTGTAATTTTATTAAAAAGAAAAAAACACCTAAATTATTTTTACATTCATTTACATGTTTTCTTAATGAACTACCCTCATGTACAAATAAAATCTATGTTGTTTCTGCTCTTATTTAATGTGTGGTAAATTTATTCCTATTAATAAGGGTCACTCTGTCTGGTTTTGTATTTCCAAATGAGGCTTTTTTTCTCATTAAAACAAAAAACAAATGTGAGTTAGAGAAGGAAAACTCTTATTTTATTTGGCTGATTAAGAAACAAGAATAAAACAATTTTGAATGTTTTTATACCCAAATGGAAATTAATTTCTGCTTTCCCAGAAAGACAGGTATTATTGGCACAAGAGGGTTTAAAAATTCACAAGCATTTGTTAGCCTCTGTTTTAAAACAACTCCCATGTTTGCTAAAGGGGGAAAAAAGAGATGAGCAAAAGTCTTTTTCTCCTAGCACAGGTTTTGGTTTTATCTAGGCCTGAGATACACACAATAAATATTATTAGGATCTTTAAAATTATACTCCAAACAGAACATATCATATCATATCGAACTAATCAAATTCTGTACAGATTTCACAATCCCTGGAACATGGAATCATAATGTAAATAGTGATGTCCACATGTCAGCCTAAAAACAAAATAAAGCGCCACTAAAAGTATTTACAACGCTGCAGGAACTGTGAAAAACGAATCTAGTAAACTGCTGTCTAGTTGCACTGAGTTTCACTCTTTAGCACACTGAGGAAATTAATGAGAATAATGTAACTTCCACACTGTAGGAGGCAGGTTTATCCAGTTTATCCCTGCTACGGTAGACACAAAGCAATTGTGAAGTGCCTGCTCCAAAACTAATGTGTCTTTGAACAAATCCTTCCATTTGTCAGGAACCCGTGCTGAGGAATGCTCAGCAAATACTTCAAACAAGCAGATGCGGGAAACGGTCCATGAAGTGCCACTCCCAGCCATCTCTGGCTTCCCTGCTTCCCACCTGGAGTCACACATTAATCATCTCCTCTTTGAAACTGACATGAATCAGAGGGAGCACACTTCAGACGGCCAGAGCGCCGACAGAATGACAGAATCAGCATCGGCGACACAGCTGAAAATCCAGCAGCTTGATTTAAATAAAACACAGCACTCCAGTCTTCTCTGATAGAGTGAAGGCGACATGTCGTTCTCCTGCAATTATTACTGCTGATATGAACTCAAATCAGATATCTGGCTATTAAGCTATTCATTTTAATACGTAATCCATCATGTGGTCAAATTAGCACTGAAACGGGACAAAAGTAGGAAGCTCATCTGAAATACTGGGAAACTGAAAATTAAACACCTGGGTTCAATCCAGCTTTATGCATCATAAGATAAAGCTGTTCCTCCAGGGGGTCAGCAACAGGGGTGGGAAGGGCACAAACACCTGGATCTTGCTGGAAAAATGCCTAGTACTCATCATCAGATGTAATCAGCATGATTTTGTCAGACTTGCGGGAGCTGCCTGTGGCCACTTTTCCATTTGTGGTGGGCAGGGTCACCTCCTGTGTGGATTGCTGGGTGTACTGCTGATAGGCTGGAGAGAAGTTGTGGATGGCATCCTGCACCATGTCTCCCGGGTTTATCGTTTCCTTCAGACCACTGGAAATGCTCTGCATTGGTGGGAGGATTTCTGTAGAAAAGCAGGAACGAGGACAGGGGCACATTAACGATCAGACAAAATGAGACGGCAATATAATTGCTTTTAAAATTTCACAAAAGTGATCAATTTGGCCATCTGAATGCAAATAAATGTGAAGGATGTGAACATTTATTTTTAAAAATAATGGCATAATACTTTATTAAATCACTGAAAATTTAAAAAGGAGTAGAGTTTTCATGTACTGACAATAATGTCTATCAAAACGTCCCAATTGCAATGCTAGCAATTGGTCACAAAAAGTAATTTCATGTCTTAAAAAACAACAACAAACTAATAAACCCTTAATAATGAATTCCAGTTATTGGTGGGATCAAATTTTAATAATTCGTTAGTACTTCTAAATGTTCAAAACATCCAAACATCTGCTAATCTGTGCAATCAAGATTGGTTGATCATTGTATTGATTTAATTGTAGAGACAAAATGGTTTTTGATCTGGTTAAGTGACCAAAAATAGGGCTTGTCGCCATCAAGCGACTAAATATTTAATTTGTACTGTCTGTTTATTGTAAGACAACAATAAAAAATAAAAAAGGGGGTGGGGGGCTGGTAAAAAAAAAAAACACAGTTTTTGGTTTCAGGGTCACTGGCTCAGGCTTACGAAGGTGTGCAACGAGAAGTGTAAGGTGTGGTAGTTAGGCATGGCTAACCAAGGTTTGATGAAACTGTAAACCAGGGGTGTGGCAACTTCTGAAATAACATATATCAACACCTGAGGAAATATGAATGTTATTGTCCCAAAGTTCAGCTGTATTCTTGAACGGGGTGACTTAAAACTAATCTAATAATGAGGTACTCTCTATAGAGACACATTTCAATTCTGAATTCAAAGAAGTTTAAATGAAACTATGCCTTTTCATCAGCATTTCCAGAAATTGTGTATGGTACGAATTTTAAGGAATGTAGGATTTCCTATATCAGGAAACATTGCAAAATGGCAGAAGACACATCTTTTAGCTTCTATTTGCAATTTTCTTGCAAGCAGCATCGCTCACTTCATCCTTTTTAAAGTACAGCGCCTTTCCCCTCATTTTCCTCTGGTTTGCTCAAAGGCAAATTTTCTCTAACTTATTAGTCAAATTATATGCTCAGCAACTCCTACAGTCACATAGTTCATGTCTGAACTAGATTTAACTCAAGTGCAAATGTGTAAATCTATAGCTACACATTTCAGTTTCTATATCGCTTAAATCAGAGGTATTGTGACTCCTCCAAGTTGCTGGTCTAAAGAGGTACAGGGCAATTCAATTACTTTTACTTCTCAGGCTTTCAGGCCAGTGTCACTCCTTATTCTCCAGGGAAGAAGGGCAATTAGCCTGGGAAGACGTCAACAGATTTTCAAGGCGAGGACAAGAGGTAACAATCAATTGTTTGTCGTTTGTTTCCTCTGTTCTCTGTAAAAACGACATCACTCACCTGGCACTTCATTTTTTTTCTGCTGGTAGACAGTGCAGGTGAAGGCGTATCTGAGGGCAATGGCAGCAAAGAACATCTCAATGCAGATGATAAAGTTCTGCCAGCCTGCCGCCACAGTACCGGCGCCAACCTCGTGTCCGTCGATGAAAAGTGCATTGGGAATGACGCCACAGCGCTCCAGGATGGCGAGGACCATTCCTTCAAAAAGACAACATTTTTAAATCAATTTATATAATTCTATAGGCTGGCAAAGAAAATAAAAAAAAGGGGACACGCACACTGAGCTTACCTTGCCAGAAGGATAAGAAGATGACGGATTTAATCGTGAGAAACTTGAGCACCGGTTCGTACGGTCTGAGCAGGTCACTTGTTGCGAAGTAGAAAAGGAATAGAGCGTAGAGGGCCAGGCTGACTGAAATATTGTAGATGATTGTGATATACAGGTATCCTCCATTCACACTGCATGAAAAGAAAGTTGGAAGAACGGCATAGTAAATTTGCAAAAATATATATGGGCTTTTTTTTGATAGTGTCTACTTATTTGGGTTTTGAGTTCTTCAGCTCTTCAAGCTGACTGAAAAGAAGTGGCTTAAATTTGAGGACATTTCAGCCATATCGCATCTTTTTGTCCTCTTCTTTGAACAAGAGGTTACGACTTATATATATACATATATATACACAGCCTTCTTATTTTTAGGATGCATCCAGTAAACAGACATTTCTGATTGTCAGCCTGCCTTTTTACCCATTTTGCATTCTAGAGAGCCTCTCTGAGGATTCAGCTGTGACTACACTAATTACTCCCATGCAGTATACCGTGCACGGTTGGCTGAAAGCGTATAAGTAAACAATCTGTGAATCATTATAGCCTTACTGCAGAGCCTAAAGAAAGATGTGAAGAAAGACACTTATTTCTGACTGCCATTTTTCCTGTTGAAGTATATGAAGAAATAATAACTTTAAACTTCTAAAAAGCGGGTGATGATATAAAGCTGATTGGATGCTTCTATATAAAGCCCTCATTGAACTCTGTGCTTCGTTTTTGAAACAAGTGTTGTCACAGCTGAATCTTCAGAGAGAGACGGTGAATCAAGAGGCACAGAAGAGCACCTGAAAATAAGTCGGGCAGAATTTACGGCCTGCAGATTTTATAGCTTTTGATTATATGCTAAAGCTAATTTTATTGAATACATCACACTCTCCTTGTTCTGTTAAAAACCTTATTGGCACATGTGAAGCACTAAAGTATGCTGTAATTAAATCTTTCTGTCTGCAATTTATCCCCAGCTTTTGACAGACAAAGTAAAAATGTGAAATGAAGCAATGCTTCTCCTCCAAGAATGAAGGGCTTTCATTTTAAAACACTACATTTCAGGGAAAGTTGCAAAAAGCAATAACTTCACATTATCAACAATGCCAATGAAGCTGTGAGTGTGGCTACACATGTGACACAACTGGGACAAACGCAGCAGGGCAACTGTGAAGTTTCTATCCATCAGTTTCAGCTTAAAATAAATACTTTTAATGCAACTATTTTCATCATGCCAGCTGTGAAGAGGTGATATAATTATCTCCATTTGCAAATTGTTCCCATGCACATCACACAAACAGCAAACAAGCCTTCTGGCTATCATGTGGAAGCATATGATACATGGAGAAGGAAATGCAAAGAGAGGTGGTGCTCACTTAAAATCTCCATCGTGATATTTGCCAAAGGCCTGCAGGATGATGGTGATGACTGCCATGATGGGTTTGACAACACAGAACTGGAGAGTCGCCTGAAGAAGAAATTGTAATTCAGAATGAGACATCAAGAAACTATGAAGGAGGATGTGAGAATCTGTTTGCACATCTGACAGACGAAAACAGTGTGTTATATCCCCAATCCCTTTAATGTCATCACCAGCCATTTTCCCACCTCACAAGGTATGATTTTTTACATTATATGTCGTATACACCAATTCAGTTATTGTTTGTATTTAGTACAGCTAATAAATTCCATATGACATGGTAATAAATGGGTTAAAAGACAAATAACTGTTTTATGGTTTTATGAGGGGTTATGCACTAAACCATTTTTTGGCTCTGAGAAACAACTTCCTGGGATCTCTTCTGGTTGCTGGGCAATTGCTCAAAGGTAAGAAACTGTCCTGCAACATCGTCCCATAAAACAACAAATTGTTTTTAAACATCAGTTTCTGTGCAGATTTATCATATCCAGTCTTTGAACTACGCTAACTGCTCTTAAATCAAGCTGACAGATGCTCTAAGCAACAAAACAAGCAGGCATATTTCATACAACAAATCATTGCTGTAATTATTAAAAGACTTAAAACACCTTATCATTGTAAAATATTAATTATTTGGCTAAATTAACCTACAGGATACATGTTTTAATGCTGATCTGGATGGAAGGTGGATGAAACAACAAAGTAGGCAGCGAATTGAGACCTGCATGCATCCCAAGAGTGACAGGTGCTCTCTGTGTTGTGTATTGAAGCCAGAACTAACCAATTTGAAAGAGGTTGCTCTAAACTCCCACCACTGCTGCTACACTTGAAAGCAACAGACCAGGTGTTTTCAACTTGAGGGATTTCCAGTGACGATGGTCAGCTTGGCAAAATGGCATCGATAATCGTTTAGAACACTGATTTACTTTGAAGCTCAAGTACCAGCAGTTTTCACTTACCGTACGCCTATTCGAGTGCAAGCTTGTCACCCAGAATATCCCCAAAGCAAGTAATTTGCATGATACTTCCTGCCATGCTTAAAATTGAAAACAAAATACAGAGCCATAGCAGTGGATTAAAAGTCAACCATGGTTTGTGGTTCAAATTAATTCAGTCCAAGCAATCCACAGTCTTCATACACTAAAATACTAATCTCAGATACATGTGAGAGTGCACTGCATGATACATATGTAAGAGGACACTGTAATTCTGCATGCTTTTTCATCTCGACTAACAACTAGTCAGTGAGTCTCTTTGCTGTTTGGTGTTAACCATGTAGATTTCACACTACACACTAGAAGTGCGACAAGAAAGAATCAAAACAGTAAAGCTGAGGACACAAAAATATTGTGAAGCTCTTCAAAGCCCTGGAAAGCTGAAGATGTATGTTATTCCTCTGCCAGGGAGCTGAGATGGAGGTATGTTTTCAGAGCTTTTCGTTTGTCTGTCAGCAGGATTACACAAAAAACTATTAAACTGAGTTTCATGAAACTTGGTTGAGAAGAGGACAATGGGCAAAAGAAGAATCTTTCATTTTACAAACAGATCCAGACATTT